GGACGCTGCTGGCTGCCACGCTGTCTCCCTCCGACCGTCTGGGCTCAGAGGTCTGGCAAACTTTCCTGCCCAAATCCCTGTTTTTTTTTTTCCTTTCCAGGGGAGTTCTGCCCTTCCCGGCTGCAAACTGACTCACCAGCTGAGCAATTTCACCGATTCGGGGTGGGTGTTATTAGTTTCAGCTGCTCACTCCATTTGCTCCGGGACACGACCTGGGACGCGTCTGCCTATATCGCCGCCATCTTCTTTCCTCTGTCCTGGGACTTTCAATGCCTATCCACATCCCTGGGGTGCTGCTGGTCAGTTGAGCCGGAGGTGCCAGGCCAATCAGTTTGCTGCCAACACCACGCCAATGGACAGCGTTATGGGTAAGCAGAGCAGGTGAACTGAGTAGCACAGGGTAGTTTTTTGGTTCAACATATCTTCCTCCTGGCGATGTGGTGTGATGGAAAAAGCATACCTTTGGCTTTTGAAGAGGATGGATCCGTTCTTACTACTTACTAATAATATGATCTTGTGGAAATTATTGTTATTATTATGTTTATGCTTATTTTGAGTCCGTTATTTCATTTAATCTTCACAACAAACATAGGAGACAGTTGCTATTAATATCCCCATTTTTATAGTTGAAGAAACGGAGGCACTGATAAGTACATGTGTGTCTTTTATGGACCAGGTGGGGACACACAGAAGCATTTTGCCCAAGGAACCTACGAGTGCCTCCTGCCACCGAGCAAGGAGATCTCACAGGAAAGAGGGTGGAGGAGCACGGTCAGATGAGGAGGCCGTGAGGAGGCTGTTAGCAACCTCCAGAGGAGAGAAATTGACCTAACCATGGTTCTGAAGGAGAAGAGGGATCACAAAGGAGACAGCAGCAATGCCCCATGAAGAAAAGGAACAGTCGTAACACCAGACACAGAGAGCGCCGGCACCAGGCAATGCTGGTCCGTGTCAGGTACAATCTTTTCTGCTGCTTTCCCAACAGAGTAATGGTAACCTTACCTGCTGCCTTACTCCACTCTGGGGAGGGCTGAAACCATGAGTGAGTGGCAGGGGGACAAGGAGCAAGTGGAGGCACCTGGAGAAGGTGACAGTGACCCCTTTTCCCAGGGCAGGCTTCCTGCCTGAAGCAGCCCAGCTGGGGAACGAGAGAAGCATTAAGTTTACGTAAGACTGGGTTTTGCTTTTGACTGTTGTATGGGACCGGATATTTAAATTATTGAAATGAGTTGGTTTTGTGGATAAAAGTGAGAGCATGACTTTCATTCTGATATTTTTGTTATCTCTCACCTACTGGCAGAAGAGACCCTGGGTTTTCGAGGCACAGAGGCCTTTTGCTCTTCCTTTTCTTCTAGCTGTTCGTGTGGTTTGAGAGAGATACGTTCTCATGCTCCTGGCTGCTGGTTTTGCAGTTCTGAGACTGGTCATGATGTCAAGTATCAGAGACAGCAATTTTCTCAGGATTAGAAAAATACCCTCAAACAAAATCTGAGGAAATAAGGCCTGTAGGTTTTACTGCGCTCTCCCATCCCACCCGATATTAGAGGCTATAACATAAAGTGAAGGGGGACACAGCACTTTATCAAATACATCACAATGGAAATCCAAGCATTAAAGAGACATGCCCTGAAAACATTTTAGGTAAATAAATTCCTCAGTTTAACCACAGAAGCTTCTGTCTTTATAGGTCTTAGGATTCCTCACGGCCTCCTCATCTGACCGTGCTCCTCCACCCTGGTTCCTGTGAGATCTCCTTGCTAAAAGCTCTTTAGATTTGGGTGTAGGGATTCCGAGTTGGGTTTGTTCTCAGCACATGATTTCTCTGAAAGGCCCAAGTATGGCATTACTTCACCCGACAGTCCCCACAGGGTCTGAGCAACGTTCTTGAAAACATTAGGATGATCTCACCCAGTTGGAAGAAGGGTCGCATAATAAAATAATGGTACTTCTCTCTCTCAGGCCACTGCACACTGTTAAAACATACTGCTTCTTGCCCTTTTGGCTAAGATCCCATGGAGAACAACTGAAATATTAGCTTCATGTCAGCTTTATCACCCTTGAGGCTATAATTTCTGACAGCTGTAAGAGATCTTGTTCTTTTGGGGGCCCAGATTAGCCCCTGTGTGATAGCTGGGTTTGTCCAAAAAGTCTGGATTGTAGACTGCCCAGCCCAGTAATCCATGTCATGCTGGAGTCCTCACCGTGCTGTTGGCGGGTCTCCCCTGGCTGGGGTCGTCCTGCCTGGGCATGAATACCACCAGCGAAGGTAGGAAACTCAGCGGCAGCTGATCCCATCTTTGCCTTATTATCTGACTGACCGAAAAATGTTTTTTCTCCTGTTGAGCTGAAATCTGCCTCCCTAAAACAAGCTCATTAATTTCACTTCTTCCCCCATGGGTCCATGCACAGTAAGTCGAATCACTTTTTAACTATTTGAAGATAGCTACTTAGCTACTGTTTGTTCCCTAAGTCTTGTCTTTAAGCTAAATGACCTAGTCCCTTGAATACATTCTCTTGGAATTTCTATTCAGGCTCTCATACCGAGCACATCCCAAACATGCTTTAGTATGTGTACCCAGAGTTAAATTCGGTACAGAGTTACCACTTTCTCAGTCTCAACATTAATTATTTATGAAAGCAACAAAAAGTGCCATTAATCTTTTTTGGAATCATATCATACTTTTGACACAGATTGAGTTTATTATTAATTAAAAATTCTGTTTCTAACAGACTTACTGCAACTAAACTTGCATAGTTAATTTTTGAACCCATGTATAGGATTTTGTATTTATTCATTCTAAATTCTATTTCTTAAATTTGGTCCATTGTTCTAGCCTCTCATGCTCTTTCTGAATCTTGAATTTTAATATTTTCTGTCCTTTCTGGATTGTTATTGTCAGCAAATTTGAGCATACTTTTCATGTTTGCATCTTACTCATTGGTATTAGAAGGGCAGAGCAAAGGACAGAGGGAAAGTAAAAATGGAAATTATAGTCCAATAATGGAAGAATCTTACAATTTACTCTGATAATAATGAGTGCTAGGTCTAAGCAGTAGAACAAGCCCTTGTGTAGTGAATCTGGTGTTGTGGGAGAGATTGTCACAGTAATTTATATACCTTATGCTATGTCCTCTTAATTTTAAAAACTGTAAGAAATTAATGGAAGCCTTTAAAGCATAAGGAAAAAACACGCATTGGTGTATGAAATTTAAGAAAAGATAGCCTGTGATTTTATTTCAAGCTCTGGTCACTTACCAAAACCTCAACTGTTATTTTATTTCAAAAATAAAACCAAAACGAAACAAAACCCTCACTGCTCAATACTATAAACTCTTCAAACTTGAGTTTCTAGATCATCTGGCTCAGTTAATTGGTGACTAAAGATGTGGTTTTGTATAAACAACCCCATATGTAGACTTTCAACCCCTCCCCTTAAAACTAATTTTCATAATTCTTAATAGTGACAGCAACATGTATGTGAGAGATAGAAAGGAACTCAATTTCAGTTGGTACATTCTGACTGAATCAAGAGAATGGGTGGGCTTCAGAAGATATGCTTGAAGGATGAATTGAATTTTCCAATTAGGAATGGGTGCAGCATGACTCTCCATGTTAAAGATTTCCAGGTAAGTACAGGAGAAAATAACTGAATAAGCTGAATTCCATAAGGAAGTAATAATTCCTTTTCTGATTAATGACTGTCTGTGGGCAACACTGCCAGGACAGACAAATTGCTGCACTACATTCCAACTTCTAAAAAACCCCTTTCATCAGTTGGATGCTTAAACCTCCTTTAGTTTAGTCTAATTAATGCGATGCATGCCTGTATGAATGATCAGTAATGAGATCACCGTCCTTTATTTTCCTTTTGTTTATGCAGTGTCATAGCTACATTTTTGGCAATGTTTTATGATGTTATGTCCTGGGCAACTGTAATCAAATTCCTAGTGAAACTGTTGTGGGTTGTTTATAAAATAATTTTGGAGTCTCATTTGCTTTAACTTCTCATCTTCCTCTGCTACACACACACACACACACACACACACACACACACACCATCTATCTCTCACATAATCACAAATAGCTTTTTCTAGCACAAATACTGTAACTATAATTTATTTGCAGCTGAACATTGTATTTGTGAAGCAGCATCTATCCTTGAAGATGCTTTACTTTTAGGGCTTGGGATTATCGGTGAAACATATAGATGGGTCAAAGTCATCCCCACCCCTAAACATACTCCCTAATTTAACCACAGTGAATTCCTTGCATATCTCCACATGTGTTATAATATAACCTCTTCCAAAGCTTTGCATGTGCTCTTCCCTTTGACTGGAATGTCTCCTTTCTCTGACTCAGTAATTCTTCCCCGTCAGAATGAGGCTGAGTGCTTTCCAGGAAGTTGTCCCTGATTTCTAGTACTAATTCAAATGCCCTTGTGCTTATCTTTTACACATCAGGTAGCACACTGTACATAAATGTTAATTTTCTTCTATGGCTTTTATTAACATTGTGTACCTATAGATTATGGCATATATATTTGATGCTACCACAGTTTGAGACATAATGCTAAACAAATATAATATTCTTTTAAAATATATACTAGGGCCCAGTGCACGAATTCATGCACTTTGAAAGGAACTGTGGGCTGTGAGGCCACAGTGGGCACAGGGGTGGGCGGGTCACTGTCATCAGGGCGGGCCTCTGGTGGTTACTGAAAATTCTTTGTTCCCACACGCAGAAGTCCTGTCCGGCACTTGCATCCGCTGCCGGTGCCAGCTGCGGGGCCCAATCACTCTGCGCTGTCAGTGGGTGGGAGTGGTGGCTGCGGGCCCCGATCGAACCTGAGAGTTTCTCGGAGGTGGAGAAGCCCTGAGGGGTGATTGGGGCGGCAGCTGCTGCTTGCACCTGCTGATAGCGCTGAGCGATCAGGGCTGGTGCTGGGTGCCTATAGATTATGGCATATATATTTGATGCTACCACAGTTTGAGACATAATGCTAAACAAATATAATATTCTTTTAAAATATATACTAGGGCCCAGTGCACGAATTCATGCACTTTGAAAGGAACTGTGGGCTGTGAGGCCACAGTGGGCACAGGGGTGGGTCTTGGCCCACCCTTGGAGCCCCCACCCAGCTCCTCCCACTGCGGTCACCCTCCCCCGCCATCCCCTGTCTGCCAGCAGCCCCACTCCCGCCACCATAATTCCCATGTGTTGACTGCAACGGCAGCACTAGCCCCGCTCTATCACCCCTCAGGAGCAGGGGGAGGTGGAGAAGCCCTGAGGGGTGATTGGGGCGGCAGCTGCTGCTTGCACCTGCTGATAGCGCTGAGCGATCAGGGCTGGTGCTGGGTGTTGGCAGTGGGTGCGAGTGGCAGCTCCAGCGCTGGCAGCGGGTGTGAGCACTGGGTGGGAACGCGGTGCTCAGGAGCAAAGAATTTTCAGTAACCACCAAAGGCTCACCCCAATGACAGCGACCAGCACCCTGCCTTGGTCTGGCGCCCCCGCTTACCTGATCCACCATCCCGTTGCAGCTGACGCCTGCCATATTCCGTGCTCTGCCACCTGCTGCCTATGCCCACCATGTTCTGCACGTGCCCTCTGGTGGTCAGTGCATGTCATAGCGACCAGTTGTCCAGTTGTTCTGGCATTTGGTCTATTTGCATATTAGCATCTTATTATATAGGATATTTTATTGATTTCAGAGAAGAAGAGAGAGGGAGAGAGAGATAGAAACATCAATGATGAGAGAGAATCATTGATTGGTTGCCTCCTACAGGCCCCACACTGGGGATTGAGCCTGCAACCTGGGCATATGCCCAGACCGGGAATTGAACTGTGACCTCCTGGCTAAACCACTGAGCCATGGTGGCTGTGCCATATAACATTCTGTTTTAAAGTAGGAAGACTTTCTTATTGTCCAGAGTAGAATAGGTGCTT